GATTACGAAAACGATTATTTATTTTTGATAATTATTATTTTATTTCAGTTAGTTTTGCAATAACTGTTGTTAGTTTCGTTTCGTTTTCGTTTTTCATTTATTTTGATTTTTTTTTTTCAGTTTACGAAAATGTTTTTTGACCAATCGTTTTCGTCTTAGTTTTCGTTTACGAAAATAACCTTGATGCACATGCACTGCAGCAGCATTATTTGATGCACTAAGGATCAGTAATCCTCACCAGACACCTTCAGCTCCTCTCTCTCCTCTGGAGTGATGGCCTCTGTGTTTTCTGGAATAGTACAATCCAGAACACTGGGAAGCTCCTGAGGAAGAAAAACAGAGGTAATTGCAAAACTATGCTATCATGGAAAGTATCCAATAACTTACTGGATTATGCATTATAGTTCCATCATTTTTTGGCAATCTTGTGTCTATGAAACTCACTTTACTTTGCATGTGAAAACATCAGACACCTTGTTAATGGACTGCATGAAAGGAATGCATCAATAAGCCTCGCCTTTTGTGTGCTAAGACCTTTACTCTCCACTCGCTGAACTCTCAGGCAGATTCGCTGACAATGGCAGAATGAGCCAGAGCAGAGGCACAGCGGCCCCTTGCCATGGACAATCACCATAACAACTGTCTTTTCATCCCACTGCCTATATATGCTTTAATGGTGCTAAAAGAGACAGACAGTTTGCTTTCCCACAATCCATAGAGTGCTCAACTGTTTATGTTCAGGGGGTCTGATTATTTCATGCAAATCTTTAACATGTCAAAGATGACTTTTTTTTTGCGTAAAACGGCTTGTTTGTAAGTTCTCAAGGTTTCCTTTTCCACTTTCGCAATGAGTGTCATGCAAGGTCTTACAGAATCAAGAGATGACGGCATTGCGGCAAACCACTCGCTCAGTGTGCCTTGGATGCAGTCTTGAAGCTGTGAATTCAGAAAAAAATTGAAAAACATGTTACAACAGGCTACAGATATTATGAAACGTAAAAACAACATCTTGGCAGCTTTCACAAACCATTTCTTAATATTCATAGGCATAGGCATAGACACTTTTGGCCCTGTAGGCTTTTTTTAGAAAAGTCTAATTAAAAAAAAAAGTGCATAATTTATTTATGGCTACCAGTAGCTGTTCGCATTAAATTCAAGGCATTGATGTTTGCCTACAAAACAACCACTGGCTCTGCACCCCTTTACCTAAATGCACTACTTCAGACGTACAGGTGCATCTCAATAAATTAGAATGTCGTGGAAAAGTTCATTTATTTCAGTAATTCAACTCAAATTGTGAAACTCGTGTATTAAATAAATTTAATGCACACAGACTGAAGTAGTTTAAGTCTTTGGTTCTTTTAATTGTGATGATTTTGGCTCACATTTAACAAAAACCCACCAACTCACTATCTCAACAAATTAGAATACTCCATAAGACCAATAAAAAAAACATTTTTAGTGAATTGTTGGCCTTCTGGAAAGTATGTTCATTTACTGTACATGTACTCAATAACTTGGTAGGGTCTCCTTCTGCTTTAATTACTGCCTCAATTCGGCGTAGCATGGACTACACCTGACCCATTAACACTAGCACTCTTTATAATTTTTTTTACACAATCTACTTGTTTTCTTTTTATTTATTATAAAAAAGTGTGTGTGTGTGTATAAAATTCATAAACAGAAAAAAAGAAACATGAAATAAAATGGAAAACAGAAACGCCCTGTTATACACTGTTGAGGGAAAAAAAATTCACATCAAGGCATCATTAACATCTTAGTTATAATCTTACAATACCATCTTCACATACACGTGTTTAAACATTACTGATCCACTTGCATGGGCTTGAACAATAAGCCACATTTTTGTTATTGGATGTCAGAGAGATTTTAGCCAGTGAATATAAAATGCACAGTCATTTGTCAATCATCTGTTGAGATTAAGACATTCTGATGAAAATCTACATCAGCATGACATTGTATCATCCTTCATTCCAGCATGTCGGGTCAGGTCAGGTCACATTTAATGATGTACACTCGATTAGCAAGTGTTACTAGGCAGAAGCATTGCTTGTATGCACAACTACAACTAAAGAAGGTAGAACAAAACCCTGATCATTTGAACGTAAAATGCAAAAACAGTGCGATGCATTGCAATTTCTCATACCGCATTTTGCATACAGTGGCATGTCATGAGCAGCACGAGGCAAACTAGCCACTGACGTCATTAATGGAAGAAGACGGATCATATATTTTAGCCCCGGAATCGTTATTGTGAGCCGAGTCGATCTTAATGATTCGACTGAACCGATTCGCAAAGCTTTCGACTGTAAGGTGGGAGTCATGCCGGAACATAAACAAAGAAACATATCACCAATTTTTTTCCAACAGTAATGACAATATATCGAGGAAAAGTATAATTAACCTAATTAGGTTAATCATGACAGAATCCAAAATCCAGTGTCTACAACTAAAACAACACATTATTTAGAATTTATATTGAAAACATACGTATTGACTCGTTTTAAGCGTTCGTAGATGATACGTCCAGGAACACGAGTGACGTCTCAAAAGATTCTGTGAACCGGTTCGGTGAATGAACCGTCCGAAGGAGCCGATGTTCAAAAAAAAGAATCGGACTTCACAAAAGCAACGGCAACCTTATCATCATAAATAATGGGGTGACCCTTGGCCAAACTCCTTCACCGAACAATATCACACTGTAAAACATGCTATGCCTGTGTTGCCAAAATGGACCAAGATGCACCATGAGCACCACAAACTCATGTCACTTACCTCCTCGCTAGTTGAAGACGGACATTTCTTCTTAAGTCGACTGCGGTTGACTAAATTCCCCGTGTGAAGCTTTAGGGTTGTCGCGTGATTAAAAAGCTGCTTCGCATTTACATGAGGCTCCATTGCTCCGTAAAAATCGGTGACTGGAAACAAGTGTTGTCTATATGTAACTATTAACCGTAAAATACCCTCGGGTACAATGTTTCCCTCTCTCTCGAGTACATTAAACAGTGTAGTATGACTTTGAACTTGTAGTTCATTCAAGTAGAGAGGAGGTTAGAGCAGAGAGTTTCACGCCCACATTAAGAATATGGATGGGTTGCGCTGGAAAACCTGGCGAGGATCAGCCCAAAATGGATCGGATGAGTGATTTAAAGCAACGTTCAAACTTTCCGAGGCCCCCTATTGTCCAACACAATATTCAAATGACCCCATTCTTCAATAATGATAACAAAGCTGCTGGCTTTCAAGCTTATTTATAAAGACAAGAAGTGAATCATAAGAATCACAAATCTGTTCATTTCTACACTGCATGCTCATCAATGAAAACAATTGTTGAGGAGACAAACTAAAATAAGAAATATATAAGTGTTTAGTATTTTAATAAGTTATAATATATAAGTTATAATATAATATTATCTTATCTTACAGCCTGGTGAAGCCCCGCCACTGGGTGAGAATGATTAGAGGCATCTTACTTTTTTTGCTTTGTCATTATGACACAGCACGCATTATTACAGTATATATGTTTAGTTATTATCACTGTGACAGCAAGCTGCTTTTAATCAACTTTAAAATTAAAAGTTAATTCAAAATCTGACTCTTTTTTAAATAAAAAATCAACTCACCAAAATAACAGCAAAAATGTGCTATTCACAACTTTTATTGTACATTAAAGTAAAAAAAAAAAAAAAGACATTGACAATATATAAAATGAAAGCATTTAATTGCAGACAACCAGATGTGTTTTTCACCAGTATTGTTGAATTTCTTAAAAAAAAAAAAAAAAAAAGGGGTCCTTCCAAGCTATTTACGCAAAGTACCCCCAAAGAAAGACATTGACAGTGAGTAAAATAAGGGCATTAACATTGCAGACAGTCTTCCAGGTGTGGTCTTCTTCAATACTGGTGAGTTTCCTTTCCAGAGCCTTCTGTTCCTCCTCACTCATCTCTTGTTTAGCCACATGGGAGAGACCACACAGCCACATTCCAGCACGCTTCCACCATGCAGGCGTATCCTCATCCGACCCCTCTGACTCTGTAGTGCTTGGAGCAGAGCCTGCTGGTTGGGACCCTCTAGCCCAGGGGTCTTCCAGCTCTACACGTTCCTTCTTACTGTGTCTTGTCCACCAGGTCAAACGAACGTGCTAAAATGAAATATAAGTGTTATATTAGCTCATGTTCAGTGTGTGTTTCTACTAAAATATTGTCTTCAATAATGTTTTGTTCATATAAATATGTAGGTAACACTTTATTTTGATAGTCTATTTTAGACCTTCAACTAACTATAATTAACTTTGTAACTACATGTCAACTACCAGTCATAAGAGTATTAGTAGACAGTCTGCTTAATATCTGATACTTTATTGTGATGGTCCCCCAACAGACATTCTACTGACTATAAGTAACTTTGCTTTAACTTTGCAACTTATTCTACTAACCCTAACCTAGAGTTAGATTACATACAGTTGCAAGTTAATTAAGAGTTAGTTGCAAAGTTACTTATAGTTAGTAGAATGTCTAAAGTGGACTATCAATATAAAGTATAACCAATATATAAATAAATAATACATTATACATTCTTTCTTTGCTGTTTTTAATGCAAATACAGAAATGAAAGTATTGCCTATATAAATTAATTTTCAAAATTAAGGTAGTGTACATGTTGTGTTGGTACTTTGAGTAGCTAAAACCTGACAAAACTTATTTTTGTGGACATTAATAGGGAAGAAAGTGGTTCATAAATGAATTAAATTACAATTAAAATCACTAAAATTAAACAAAAAATGCTAAATGTTTTTAGGAGTGGGATTAGTCTGTAATATGCATTTTTTTACATTTTAAACCAATATAAATGCATAGAAAGTCCCCGTGTAATTGGGTATGTAGCATTTATCTCCTTTTTGTACGTTTTGTATACAAATGGATAAAGAATTCTTTAAATGTGTATGTATTTGGATCGCGATCCTTAGTTACATGTTGCTCTGGAATAGGTGCAGTGCAGAGGCTGACAGCTGTGATGATCAGAGCTGTCAGTGCAAGCAGGATGAGAGCAAAATACAGGTAGTGCACATCTTTCAGCAGGGCAGGGCGCAGGTCTTTTTCTCTGCATGATGGGGTGCTGTACACAAATTCCATTACCATCCTCACAGTGCCCACCACTAGTCCCACCATCAGACCCCAAAAAGCACCCTGTGCAAGATAAAAAGAAAACAACTTAACTTGAATGTTTTACAAACTTTTTAAAATAAATGCATCAAGTGTTATAGGCCATTGAACTTTCACTTTATTGCATGGGCACAAGAAAAGGGTTATTTAATTCACCTGTTCATTTACTCGCCCCCATAAGATTGCCATAATGAACACTGTGGTGACGGGAGGTGCCAGGTAGCTAGTGATTGACTGAATGTAGTCAAAGAGTTGTCCACTATTAGCTGTTTGAATGACTGGAATCCACACAATGCTCAGGGCCATTAGCAATAAAATGAACACCCTGTGGATGTAAGTAAACAGCAGCAATTAAGACCCATGATACTCAGGCTGTTCAGTAAAATAAAAGTGTATATTATGGAAAAGGACAAGTGGTCTGATTTGATTTTGAACTTATTCATGTTTCATGAACCTCACTGACAGTTTGTATATCAAGTATCAAAGCTCAAATGGTGCCTTTATCGCCCCAAAACAGGTCAACAAAACCACCCTGATGTGGTTAAACCACTTGGTGGAATTGGTGGTGGACTGGTTCCACTTTCGTTGAACTAGTTTGTATGCATATAATGACAGCATTCACTTCTTTTAGATACTTCAGTTTATTTCTGAAAAATACTGTATGTTCAAAATGAAAGTTTTTCCACAAAACATTTAACAGACTACCTGCCCAGTGCCCACTACCATGAGCTCTCTCTCAGTGGCCCGGGGCCGAATACGTTGCCATATGTCCATGGTGAACAGAGTGCTGCTACTGTTGAATATAGAGGTGAGAGAGGACATGAGTGCTGCCATCATTACAGCGATCATCAGACCTCTCAAACCTACAACACAATTACAAGGAAAGCAAGAATGCATTAGCAAATCAAGAACAAGAGGAACACTATTGTTGCTCTGTAATCTCTGTTGTAGCAGTCAACATATTTGATAGGTTTTGCATCCCTTTTTTTGTTGTTGTACAAGAGCATTATAGGCTCTCTCTCACTACATAAATTATTTGAATGAAGCATTTTGAAGGCACTTAAAAAGTACTTTGAAATATGTTTTCCCATTATGATCTTCAAACTGTCACTCTGCTTATCAAAATCGTATCATAAAAGAACTGGGTAGAAAATAAGCTTAAAATTGAAATTCTGGCAAAAGTAACATTAATGTTTCTCTTAAAAAATAAGGAAAAGTAACTATAGAGACATAAAAAAATATTTAAATGATAACATCTATTATAATTTATCACAGATATATATTATAATTTAAATATTTTATTATAATATAATTATACTATTGATGCTATTTAGAACAATTGTTAGTTTATTAACATTTTCGATAGAATTAATTTTGTTAAAATGATCCTAGTGGACAGAAAATTTCAACTAATTGAAAAATCACACATCTGATTATTCTGAAAAAAAACATAAGGTTGTCATACCCACTGGCATGAGCTCCACAACTAACTTTGGGTAGGCAATGTTAGAGCAGCCAACACTGGCCCCACAGATCTCCATACACTCACCAGGATCCACACATCCTACTTCATCTAGAAAATGCATAAACACCGTCATACTACTTATTATAAAAGTAGAGATTTTACATTTATGCAAATTAATGGTGTGAATAGTCCATTAAACCCCTTTTTATGGGTTAAATAAATGTTTAGGTAACATCTTTCTTAAATCCAGACCATAGATTAGGGGAAATGCAAGGAATGACTTGCAAGGTAGTACTTGGGTAGAGAGCTCTGCTGATCATTCCTGGCATAACGACGAAGAACATAGGGAAGACCTTGAGGTAGCCACCGAGTACCGAACCGCCTTTGGCATGGGACAAGTTTTTGGCAGAGAGAGACCTTTGCACTATCACCTTCAAACATGAAACAGACGCAACTGCTTGCTGTAAAACTATTTTTACGCTTAAAGAGACACATTTGTGAAACCCTCTGCTGAATACTAATTCAAGCAAAAATCTACAGTATTATAAATTCACCTGGTCTGTGCACCACACCCATGTGGCCAGAACAGTGAGTCCAAAAATTAGGCCTGGCCAAGGAAGATCTCCTGTCACTGGATCTCTGAAGATATGAAAGGCGTCGGACCGAGGAAGATGACAAGTGGTGTTGGGAACTGTGATAGCAGGTACAGCTCTCTCATACTGAACCAGCAAACCCTCATACCAGCCAACTTTGTCGAATGCTGTCAGTAGAAATTCAATTGAAATGCAATCACTGTTCTTACCCTGGAATAATTCTTGTAAGTATAACATTTCATCAGCGAGAGATCTATACCTATGAACATGAGGACAAATGCTCCTATTATCATGATGACGGTCTGTAAGGCATCAGTGTAGATAACTGCTGTCAGGCCACCTGCATTAAAACAAGCCACCAATTTAAGCATTTCATCTAGAATCACATTTAGGCATAATGCTGTGACCCATGCTGACCCCCTAAGTTATCGAAAGTATCAGTCATGTATGTGTTGTTTTATTACCAGCTATAGTATAGAGTGCAGTGACGACTAGCAGCACAACGGTGGAGACATACAGGTCCCATCCCAGAGACACCTGGATGAATAAAGCCCCTGAAAAAATGTCTGTCTGGAAAGACCACGGTTATGATTATGAATAACTTTATTACACATACATTAAAACTTACAACTCTGCTGAAATGCTATTTGTTGTTTACTGTTATTGTAGACTTCATAGCATACTGTATTGTTGCGCTTTGGCTTAAGTATAAATAAAAACATGTTTCATTCATGCAATAGACTCTTTTATCATTATAATATAATTTAAATTTAAAACAATACATAACAATATAAAGTCCTCGTCCTTCTAATTTGCATATTTTTGTAATTGAATACTTTTTTTTCTAGTTATATATCAGATTATCATTTTTTTTTCTTCCAGTTTTGGAAAGTGTCTGTTTGTATTAATGTACTGTTGTTTTATTTTCAATTAATATATAACAAGTGCTCAACAAATATACTCAATACATATATAACAAATACAGAATAAGTGTTATATATTATTTAATAATACTTCATTCACATTTATTAAACTAAGGAGTCTTACTGATATCTTGGTGAAAATGTAGAGGATGAGAGAGAGCACACTCATGTAGATTTGGATGCGCTGACCCCCGAACCTCTTCCTCAGATACTCTGGCATTGTGACCACTCCAGCAGAAATATACACGGGCACAAAGATCCAGCCCAAGGCAATGAGGACCCATGCTGCCTAAAGAGCATCATACTTGATGTCTGATAAGATGTTTTGTTTCAGCATGTGATGCATTAAAACGGTCAAACATTTGATTAGCCTTAGACAACTACAAGTGAAATTAGTAATTACTGAAACAACACTGAAAGCTTGTAGGATGAGGACTGATTTGTCAGTCGTGCATTCCACTCAAATCCCCCAACTGCGAGTCCCCCTGCGGCTCCTGTTCCTGCTAATCCAATGAACAGACCGCTGCCTACGCTACTCGACATTAAAGAGGCTCCAATCTGTTGAAACACAACACAAGAAAGACATACTGAGAAAACACTTTCAAAACTAAACAAAGCTATGATAAACCAAGCTGAAAAAGACATTTCTTCACACTAAACACAAATTATCTGTGAACATGATGTGTATAACTGTTATATATTATTTCATTTATTTAATGTAAAACACATTCATTTCATAATGTGTTTATATGAAAAAAAAAAATGTTAGGAGAGTTCGTCGATTTCATTATTTCCGCTTTCCAGATAAGGACTTTAAAAATCAAGATGCTTCCTTGTAGACAGCCACAAAATAAACAATTCCAGCTTCATTAGAGTAAACACAAAAACTCACTGGCCACCAGGTCATGGATTGCCCAGCCAAGAAGTATCCACCCACTGTCGGCTCTGATTGAGGACTTCAAATCAAAAACACACCAGTTCTATCTCTGCATCAAGAATTACAGAATTCTCTACATCAATGCAAATATTACTAGGCTGCAGACTTTCACTTACCCATATTCCGACTGCCAACACAAACACAAAATAAACCACAACCACAGCAATAACAGCAGCCTCCAAAGTAAACTTCCTAGGCACCTCGGGCTCTGGGGTGCCCGTTACAAGCTCAGGTGAAGCTGGCATTTTGTACAATGCTTGAGGCAAAAGTGTGAACTTTGAAGCAGGTGCTAACTTCATTAATAATTAATCAGCCTGTTCCAGAGAATGCTGAGAATGCAATGCTGAGAGTTACGCATTATGAGACATAAAGCATAATAATCTAAATGTATGAATTCCTAAAAACTGGAAAAATTAAGCACTTTTGATCAGTACAGTACATATATACAGTGGGTACGGAAAGTATTCAGACCCCCTTAAATTTTTCACTCTTTGTTATATTGCAGCCATTTGCTAAAATCATTTAAGTTAATTTTTTTTCCTCATTAATGTACACACAGCACCCCATATTGACAGAAAAACACAGAATTGTTGAAATTTTTGCAGATTTATTAAAAAAGAAAAACTGAAAAATGCTCAGTATTTAGTAGAAGCACCCTCTTGATCTAATACAGCCATGAGTCTTTTTGGGAAAGATGCAACAAGTCTTTCACACCTGGATTTGGGGATCCTCTGCCATTCCTCCTTGCAAATCCTCTCCAGTTCTGTCAGGTTGGATGGTAAACGTTGGTGGACAGCCATTTTTAGGTCTCTCCAGAGATGCTCAATTGGGTTTAAGTCAGGGATCTGGCTGGGCCATTCAAGAACAGTCACAGAGTTGTTGTGAAGCCACTCCTTCGTTATTTTAGCTGTGTGCTTAGGGTCATTGTCTTGTCGGAAGGTAAACCTTCGGCCCAGTCTGAGGTCCTGAGCACTCTGGAGAAGGTTTTCATCCAGGATATCCCTGTACTTGGCCGCATTCATCTTTCCCTCGATTGCAACCAGTCGTCCTGTCCCTGCAGCTGAAAAACACCCCCACAGCATGATGCTGCCACCACCATGCTTCACTGTTGGGACTGTATTGGACAGGTGCCTGGTTTTCTCCACACATACCGCTTAGAATTAAGGCCAAAAAGTTCTATCATTAATGAGGAAAAAAAATTAACTTAAATGATTTTAGCAAATGGCTGCAATATAACAAAGAGTGAAAAATTTAAGGGGGTCTGAATACTTTCCGTACCCACTGTATAAGAATACTTAAGAAAAAAAAGTTAATGCTACAATTTAGCAACAAATAAAAAAGGCAGAGAATGACAACAAACATTGCAAGACTTTTTAATTGCAGAGTGACATACAAAATTGCAATATTGTACATGTGAAAACATACGTAAATAGTCTGAATGAGGCATTCAACTGCATCAGTCCATTCATTTCTTCTTCCAGAATTTGCTGTAATCATCAACTTTGAAATCATCCTCAAAATCATCCAATTTCTGTTTTGCTGCCCTCTTCGGTTCTCTTTTCCGCATTCTGATTTTCCTCTCCTCCTCCGAGAGGGTGGTGATGTCCACAGGCATCTGGTAGGGAAAAAAATACAGTAAAAATTATTGATAACTGACTCAAAACACCAACCTCAGGTCCTTTAAAAAAAAAAAAAAAACTGGATGACATTTTGAACTGCCATTGTATGACAGTTCTTCAAAAAAATTGATCATTTTGTGTTCAACTGAAAAATAAAGTATTACATCAACATGACATTGAGTAAATAATGGCAGAATTTTCAGTTTTGGGTGAAGCGTACCTTTAACGAAAAAGCCTTGAATATAAACCACTAACCTTCATTATTCTTCTGGGCTCTTTATATCTGATGTTGATGGTGGACCCGTCAGGTCTCACCAACAGAACCGGATACATCCTCTCATACTTCTGCCTCCCAAAGCGGACCACACACGTTCTGTTGGAGCTTGACTGAAAGACTGTGGTGTGAAATGTGGATGTGGCTTGCAAGCACCTGTGGGTGACTACAGCCTGAAGACGCCTATGCAAAACAATAAACGGAAATTCACAATCTAAACTTTTCTGCGCATCGATGATGTTTAAGCTAGCTGTAGTAAAATCGAAAAATAACGAAATAGCGTCAGAACCTTAATCATCTGATCACATTCAGTGCGAAGTCAGATCGATTGACGGTTTATAGAGACACTTGTCATTAAGGAAATAACGTTAGTTAAGAAAGCAAAATCCTTCCATAAGCAGGTCTAATAAATTGTGAATGGGAACAAAAATATCTTAAAACTAATACATAACTCTAAACACGAAAATACATTCACTACCACACTATACCAAAGACGAGAGAACTCAATGTGCTATCGGTTCATTAACTTACTTACCTAAATATACTCATGCAAGGCTGACCAATTGTATTTAAAGCCATGACCATAAATTTGGCAACACTGGACACGGCTATGTGGTAAATATATTCATAAGTGTAAGAACATAATAACAGAACTCTTCAGAATGAAGAAGGTCACCATCAACAAACGGCATGGGGGTGTACCAGCATAAAATGCTCCGCCTGGAAACTTGTGCTGCAACTGCCAATAGTTCCGCTGTCCGTTCTGTTTGGATTTTTGTTCACATGAAGAAATAGAAGCTGTTATTTTTCCTCTAAATAAAATAGATTCGTGCAAACCAGCTGCTTAGAATTTTAATAATCAAACCAAAATTTAGCATGCAATATTTTATTTAAAAACATAGTTTGAAATTCTGACCATATGTTCATCTCGACAAAAATACATAGAATATGATATAAAAAAGTACAGTATACAACAGTAAAATATTAAAATCTCAGCCTTTTTCTTAATTAAAATAGTTCTGCTCTTTAAAAAAACTGTTACAATTCTTTTATTTTACACAGAGCAGCCTCATGGTGGCGATCACATCCTCTGTCAAAAACCTTTCTCTGTAATTTCCCTGTTATTGGACACTATCACCCAAAGAACCGTTTTTAACTCTCTAAACTTGCTTGTCCAATGAGGTAGCGGAAGTGGGAGCCACTGTCTTCTTATAATGTGCTGCCAGTCTGTCTGCCTCCCTGTGTCCTGAGAGTAGAGCTCCTTGCACTGTGCCATAAAGAGTCTTCATTGTTGCCTCACCTGCAAACAGGACCTGATGATCCTGAAATATATGAAGTGAAAAATCACTTTAATACTTTGACAAAGAAAAGAAAACAAAGGAGGGCCTAATCCTAACCCTCTTTTAAACATACTTCTGTATGAAAACCTTCTCCTTGATAGCCCATAATTAAATAAAAATGATAATCCATTAAGAAAAAAAAAATACATACTTTATTAGGATGCTGGCTGCCCACTAGTGGTTGTGCCAGTGTGTCCATAACTTTCCCATCAACACCAACGGTGAGGAAAGCGTAGGTTCCCTTTATGAACTTGTTGCTGCGCCATTTGGTGCAGAGTATGGATTTCGGCTGAGGAATGTTTGAATGTCCTTGGAAGTACAGAAAATATTAAAAACACAAGATATTTGTGAAAAACTTTTCACCAATACATTTTTTAGAACTTTTAAAAACCTTAAAGTCTTGTAACTTACACATTAGCAAACACCCAAAAGTAATAATATGGATATTTACTAAAGATAATTCTTTACCTAAGAACATTTTGAGATGATCAGTGATCGCAGTTGAGAGTTCATCGTCTGTCATGGTTTCAACCAGGTCAGCTATGTCTCCTGGACACCAGCCAATTAAGATATTGCCAAACCTAGAAAAGAGAGAATTAAAGATGAATAAACCCTAACAAGTAACAATGTTAAAGGTGTCATGTTATATTTTTTTCCTGAGGTACACTAATAATGTTACTACAGCTTTTTGCACCATTAACAGTCATAATAACAATGCTACTACTACTACTTATTATTTTTTATTATTATTACTGAAAATGTCACTGTAGTTTGATACAACATTAACCTTTCTTTGGGTCTCAGGACAGAAAAGTACTGCATGTTCTTGAGCCACTGCATTTTATTGGTGGATACTGAGGCAGGGGTGTCATCTTCATAAATGAGGCTGATAGTACCAACATCACTTTCCCAGAATGCCTCTTCATACTCCAAAAAGATCTTGGCAATATTGCCAAAGCACAGCTTATCGATGGCCTCCATTTTCTCGGTTGGGAGACTGGGGATGAATAGGCTGGATGCGTGTGCTTTTAGACAACCTTTAAAACACACACACACACACAGAGAGAGAGAGAGAGAGAGAGAGAGATCTCTCAATTATAAATAGCAAAATTGATCTCTTAAGCAATTACATAGTCCTCACTTCAGACAGCATCTTACTCATAATACTTAATCCTTATCAACACATACCTAATGAAATGGTCACAATTACATGATCGGCTACAATCTCTTCTCCATTCTCACAGACAATGCAAACTGGGTACTGGCAGAGTTTTTCTTCAGAAGGAGATTCAGTGTGAGCAGAGAGGAGAAGTTCATCATGAGGAGGGGCAACACAAAAAGATCCATCCCATTTGATCTTACTAACTTCTCTTTTCAGCAGCAAACGATCTTTAGGGAAGTCCTCCAGCAGCTTATCCACAAGCTGAAACATGAAACTGACATACATACATAACATTTAACACTAATTGAATCATTTAATGAGCAATAATTGCAAATGAATGCAGATCTTCTTCTCAACCCATCATACCCTGCAATATTGAGACTGTCACCCATGTTGATATAATACTGCCAGGAGTCAAGAGAGATCCTGTGGAGGTCTGAAGCTCCAACGTCAATCAGCATGTCTTTTCCGACCAAAGCAAAAATACTCTGCATTCTCGTTCTCTTGTCATTGTCTTCTTGCAAGCTGTCAATCATACCCTGGGTTTTTTCTGCATAGTGTTCACCTAAACTCTTTCCCGTGTTGGAGCCACGGTATCGAATGATGCTTTCCCCAGCTCCATATGCATATCTGGCGAAGTTTGCATCTACTTTGTGTCCCTTGTTACTATAAAATGCTTCTTCGCCCATCTCAGGGATCTGGTTTAGAAGGCCAGACTTTTTTAGTAGACAGTAGACTGGGTTTTCTTCTGACGCCCCATGGATGTACTCTGCTCCGGTATCAACACATGCATTACCTTTCACATAATAAGAGAAAGACAGTAACATATGTATTGTTAAATATTAATACAGCATAGAATACTGCATTACAGGGTCAGAAATTAACCATGGGGCTTAGGAGAAAGTGTTACAGGAAGTGCCCCAGATATATAAAATATGCACAAAAAACTCCTGTAGTTCTTTTTGTTTTACGTTTATCTTAATTTTATCCTTATTTATATTTTTATTTTATTTTAAAGCCCCATATTTCCCATTTTATTCTAGGCCTATTTAGTGATGGGTTTTAGGCACTGTATTGATAATTTTATTGGATTTATTCAATTTCTTGAGTTTTTGGCATAAATGGAAGACATACTGTGTGTTTATAAAAATATACCCTCATAAAAGTAAAAAATGCCATGAAAGGTCAGTTTGTTGTCCCATCATAAATTGGATTTAAAATCACATGATACAATCTGTTGACACAGCACACACACACACACACACACACACACACACAAAAAAAAAAAAAAAATTTAATGGAAGTGAAACTAAGCCATGGGTTCAGATTTTAGCTTCCTCTAACACACAACCACACATTTATTTGTTTGCTTGTTAAAACAATGATCATATAATAAACATTATTATGAATAATAAATATAATTGACAAAAAGAACAAACCTTTTAAATTATTATTAATAATACTTTCATTTAATAATACTTTATTTAATTATTGTTATTACATTATTGAATAACTTTTAATATTTTATGACATTTTCTATATATTAACTTAATACTGTAATTCTATTTGAGATATAATGAAGGCTATTCACCTAGACTTGCAGTAGCTACTCTTCCTCCGACCCTCTCGGACGCTTCCAGCACCGTGACGTCATTAAATCCATATTCTTTCAGTTTCTTGGCTGCAGCGAGTCCTGCCACTCCAGCACCAACCACCACAATAGCTGGATTCCTGCCTGCCATGTCTATAGGATTACGGTAACTGCAACTTTACTAAAAACAAAATGCATAACATCTTACACATATTTAGACAGTACAATTCCTGACATTTGTATGAAAGGCTTTTATAGCTCTGGCTGAATTCAATTATAGTTTTAGCCTAAATTTACTAAATTAGCTAACTAAAAGTCTTTGCTTACTTTGTAACGGCGCTAAATGCAGACTATCCACCTTCTACCGTGTCGTTGTATCGCTTAGTTCTACTTCCTGTTTTACGGCTATTACTTAATTTTGATTCAGAGGCGGCGATATTTTCTGAGCCCGAAGTGGGAAAAACACATCCTGCTGTTTTTCTGTTTCTCGGCTCGTTGTATGCATATTTCTCCAATAGGGGGCAGAAAATCCTAAGAAATTAAGTCTAATTTTGCACACTTGTAATGGACTATATTTGAATTAAACTTCAGCAGGACTGATGTTACACTTTTCCTTTGAGCAAGACAGGGAACACCAGATTAAGTGTCTCCCTTATAAGTTATAAGTGCACTATATGTTACTTATAGTTATATAGTATATATATAACTAAAAGTGTCAGAGAAAATTATATGTAAAAGAAAAGTATAGGATAAAGTACTATGTATTTGATTATTTAATTTTATTTGTATTCAGGTGATTTAGTGATTTAGCTTTAGCTTAACGTGTTTTGTACTAACTATGCCGAACAACATGACCTGAGGCAAAATATTAGCATCCTATTCCGACCAATATGAGCCAAGAATATTTTCTTAGAACAAGAACAGGTGCACTTCCTTTTCTTTAATGATAAAATGTCTTGTCCTTAGGCTTTCTCTGTTTAACAGATTTTTAAAACAGATGTACTGCAGCACAGAAGCACTCAATGCTAAATTATAATAAGCTGACTGAAACACTCATTTTTAATAAGTGTCTTCTACATTCATCTATCTGCACTTTCAGCTGCTTTGCAAAGCTGACACTTTTCAACACCCAGAGTCTGGCCAGTGGAGAACTAAGCCATTCACTTTTGTCACAAGTCGAGCCGACCTTTTGTTCAGCCAGGCTTGGATGAATCAATGACCTAATTTATCATCTTTTGGCGTCATTGTATGCAGGCTTAGTTTTCAATAATCTGTGCTTTGTCTCAGAGCAGGGTCAAACAGATCTGATCCAGCGGGAAGCAGGTGAGGGGTGAAATCTGTGGCCTTTACAAAAACGAAATGAAAAGACTACACCAACAAACAACAGGCATCTTCTGCTGCACTCAGAGGGAGTGACATCACTCTCATTGTTTATCTTTGTTTGGACAGCCAGTGACTGCATGTACGGACAGTTTTGATTGCTGTTTATCATTGTGAGAGAAATGTGCCCCTGTAAAGATACTTTTCATGCTTTACACACACAACACGCTGTTTATGTGTTTTTATCTGTAAGGAATGATCATAAATCTGTCGTTGGTCACATGAATGAGAATGAGTGTTTTGGAAACATCAATGTGACCATATTCTCAAGATCATTAGATGATGACTAAATGATATTGTGGGATTTGGAGAATGTTTGGTTTGAGAAAGTATTAGTACTTTTTCCCATGGAGCCATTTTTCACTTTTTAATGAAGTGACTTGTCAGTGCAGGAGAATCCAGGGGCAACATCGAACTGGATTCTCTGTTTGTAGACAGACAGGCCCACCCCAAAAACCCAAAGCCCCCAGACACAATATATACTGTTCATTAACATATCTGCATTATATATAATGGTGTGTATTGATATTTATATATATTTAAAAATATATTAACTAAAAAATATACAAATGTCTCTGCATTATATATCAACATATAAAACAAGTGGCATTTATTTTAAAGAAATATAGCACAAGCATATGTTTCAATCAAAACATTTCACAAAATGTTTAAAAGCGTTTACATTATTAGGTTTGAAAATATAAAAAAATAGATATATTTTTCAAAATGAAAACAAAAAGTCTTAGACACTTTCTGTTGTCAAGCTTTATGAATATGATTAGGGTTAATAATAGATACAAGTTGGATAAAATAATTGAAAAGTTATTTCTGAGAACTGTGTATTATCATTTATTTGCAGATGGCATTTGATTTGATATTTAGTGGTAATAGTCCATTCCTCCTTTTATCCACATTTTAATCCACATTCACTGCCAGTGTGTGTGACGAATAAACATTGATGTCTTTAGGTAAATGTTGATTATGAATTGTGTGATAAATTCTATTTTCATATGCATAGATCAAATACATTTTTCGCTTGCACAAAAGGATGCAGTAGGCCTTCAAGTTGGTGGTATGGTCCAAAGATGACAGAAGCTCCAGAGCTCTGTGTGGGTGCAACTTTCTCCCAGCACAGTAAACAGCCAAAAGTAGCCCAAACAATACTATGTTTGTTTTATGCCTCACAGAGCTCATTGTGTGCCTGCTGGTGAGCTCTCAGTTTGTCCTGGTACAATGGGTGAATGGTCCCCCAGGTCGTGCCCGCCCTGACTTCTGATACAAGAGCTGATACAAGAGATGGGTGCCAGTCATGTCATCCGCTTGTCTCAAAATCACCTAACTGGCATAGCTGTATTTGTAAGACTAATGAGAGCATGGCTGAGAGAAAGGCATGATTATGTTCACTCATGTAATCATCATGCCTCAGTGGCCCCTGTCTACCAGGGCGGGAATCAAAAGGAAATTTGAGACGCCAAGCCAAAAGCTCTCATCTTCTCACACAGGGGAAGGCCATTAGATAGTGACAACAGAGCAACTCCTCCCATACATTTTTTTTTTAGAAACTCATCTTAATATTAAATTATCAAAGGACTGCATTAAATAACATGCTTAACCATAATTTATTAACAGAATGGCTAAACTAAATGCCTTATAAATTTCAGCCACCACAGAATATATATATATATATATATATATACTGTATATATTAGGGGTGTAACAATACAGTTACACCATGGTTCAATACATACCTCAGTTGTTTAACCACGGTTTTCGGGTTCGGTTCGGTTCTGATGGCCTGACACATCAGAGTGTTTTCTGCAATTTAAAATGGATTATTATGTCTACTTAAAATTTCTTTTGAGAGAAGTATTATTTTTCCTATTTCTTTTTCTACCCAAAATAGGATGTTTTGGCCGTTATTGAGCGCTAAAAACACATGTAATGTCTGTTTCATTCATACTGGAAGCCGGAGAGCGCCCTTGCACAGAAACTCCACATAAGCATCACAGAAGTAATAGAACTGCTGACGCGCCAGGAAATCCCTAATATAGATAAAGGTAGCTATCCCTGTGACTGAATAAAAGGAAGATAGAAACGTTTTGAATGATAATATGTGACCCTGGACCACAAAACCAGTCATAAGTCGCACGGGTATATTTGTAGCAATAGCCAACAATACATTGTATGGGTCAAAATTATCGATTTTTCTTTTATGCCAAAAATCATTAGGATATTAAATAAAGATCATGTTCCATGAAGATATTTAATAAATTTCCTACCATAAATATATTAAAAATGTATTTATCATTAGTAATATGCATTGCTAAGGACTTCATATGGACAACTTTAAAGGCGATTTTCTCAATATTTTGATTTTTTTGCCAAATATTGTCCTATCCTAACAAACCATATATCTTATTTATTCATCTTATTTATTTAAACCTCAATTAAAAAAATATTGACCCTTATGACTGGTTTTGTGGTCCAGGGTCACATATATGTCTGATTTGATATAATACATTATATCAATCATAATATTCTCTTTTGTTGGACAACAGGTTTAGAATATATTGTGGCATCCCTTATATATATACAATACCACGACTGAGTTGAGACCCTTGAGCAAGGCACTGAATCCCCAACTGCTCCCCGGGAGCCGCAGCAATATGGCTGCCCACTGCTGAACACTAGTGTGTTCACTACTGTGTGTGTGCACTTGGATGGGTTAAATGCAAAGCACAAATTCCGAGTATGGGTCACCATACTTGGCCACACTTCACTTCACTTTCACTCACTTTTTCACTTATATATATGAAAAGATGGGTTCACTGAGGATTACAGGACCATCTTTTCGTGATTTACTATTAGCCTTCACGTACATTATAAATGCAACTATAAAACACTACTATTCATCTTCAAAATGTAATCTGAATCAGTCACCAGTCCAACACTGCAGCTGTGACTTTAAATATTAATGTATCCCTGTGCATCAGATATTTCACTGGCATCTGGCAAGGAACTTTATGATACAGGAGGAGGAATGACAGCCTAAGGTCACATCTTCTGCAGAACAATATTCAGAGCTGAATTAGTGTTGACAGAGCGCCAAATAGCAGTCTAATATTTTAAGTGCTGCTGGTCCTTAAGCTTATTATGAGGTTTTTCTTTTTCGCACATTTTAGGACAATTGAACTATGTTTGTCTACTTTAAAAACGGGTTTTAATAATTTAATAGATACAAACTGCCCCGATTTCACAGTTGGAATTGTTAAACCAGGGTTAGCCATGCGAGAAAAGCAGAGAAAATACTAAACATAAATTTGCGTTTGCTTCTGTATTGCTTTCTGCACGCGCTTTTTTCTGTCCTCCGGAGGAATTCGCGCGCTCACACTTTAAACGTTAACGGTCATAGCCTACCTGTGCTCCGACACACAAATCTGTTTTCGACCTCTCTACTAAATAATTGCTTACAGGTGTCATCTTTAATATTTGTTACAAAATGTTTGAGACCTCAAACAAGGGACTGTTGGGGCTCAAACAACCGCATGAAATCACTTACAACAATATTACGCCGCGCGTCGTGGAGTGTAGACCAGTCGACGCAGCATCCCGGTGAAAGCGCGTTCAGGCGCGTAGTAATCGCATCCTTGTGGGATTTGTCACCAGTCAGCATCGTTTTCTTCACAGGGGAGCGCAGTAACAGCAGGGACAGTTCATGCAGAATGAGTGCTTGACTTCTGAGGGAGTTAGTTAATTTGGACTGAAGAACATCATTACTTAAGAAAAAACGATCGCGCGACCTTCAAGGTGAGTTTTATATTTAAATATTTGGTGTTATTTTTTACTACTTAACATAAAACACGTGACCAACAGATTTGCTGTGTATAACAATTTATAAACCAGTTTAGTAATTATGAAAAACTTGGGGCGCTTTTTTTGCGTTTGTCATTTTTTAAGTGCAAACTTATGGCAATTTATTTAACGTTTTCTTTCATCTTTTATTTATTTAAATATCTTTTTATGTTACTTGTACCTTTTCATTAGTGACTAACGTTAGTATTTATTCACTTTATACACTATCCCAATAAAAATAAGTAGGCTAAGTTTTGTCATATGCACTGACTAGTCATAATAGCTACTTTATATGACCTCATAATGAAGCTAGTAACATCGTGTCCTAACTACACGCGACGCCGCGACAAGCGATAAAAGGTATCTTTTCCATGTTAATCTTAGTTTTTGTCATAACCAGCTGCGACGGCGACACGCGAAGTTTCTATTTTAGAGGCTGGAACAACAGCATACAAACTATGGCAATGATAATCTCAGGTAGGCTACTGATTGTGTGCTTTATTCAATGTTAAAAGTGTCTAATGTGACTTTGAATATCATTTAGTGTGACCTCTATAGCCATAATGATAGCAACTACATAGCTTACCTCAGATCTTGAAAATAAATTAAAGGGGTCATATGATGCTGCTAAAAAGAACATTATTTTGTGTATTTGGTGTAATGAAATGTGTTTATGCGGTTTAAAGTAAAAAAAACACATTATTTTCCACATACTGTACATTATTGTTTCTCCTCTATGCCCCGCCTTTTTGAAACGCGTCGATTTTTACAAAGCTCATCGATCTGAAAAAGCGAGGTGTGCTCTGATTGGCCAGCTATCCAGAGCGTTGTGATTGGCCGAATACCTCAAGCATGAGACGGAAATGTTACGCCCCTCACATACTGCTGATGCCGTATCCGGCCAGAGCGATGAGACAAAAACATTAAAACCCATAATAAACGAGGCATTTATTGCATCCATTGGGGACATAATTACTGATTATAATGACTTATACTGTCATTTTACGCGTTGCGTTGCATTGCGCCGCGTAAACATAAAACCCTGTCTGCATTTGTGATCAGAGAAATGACAAACAACAAGTGCTACTCCACACTGCCCAAAAAACTCGCGTTTGAATCATCAGTGGCAAATGATAAAAGAAAACGTACTTACGTGAGTCAGAACTGCCGGCATTTTAGCCTCAAGCGTGAGACGGAAATGTTACGCCCCTCACATACTGTGATGGCGTGTCCCAGCCGGAGCACAAAAACATGAAAACCCATTACAAACGAGGCATTTGGTGCATCCAGTGGGGACATAATTACTGATTATAAAGACTTATACTGTCTTTTTACGCGTTACGTTGCGCCGCGTAAACATAAAACCCTGTCTGCATTTGTGATCAGAGAAATGACAAACAACAAGTGCTATTCTACACTGCCCAAAACTCACGTTTGAATCATCAGTGGCAAATCCTTTAAATGAAAACGTACTTACAGACTGTGAGTCAGAACTGCCGGCATTTTAGCCTCAAGCGTGAGACGGAAATGTTACGCCCCTCACCATACTGTCGATGCCGTGTCCGGCCGGAGCGACGAGACAAAAACATTAAAACCCATTACAAACGAGGCATTTGTTGCATCCAGTGGGGACATAATCACTGATTATAATGACTTATACTGTCGTTTTACGCGTTGCGTTGCATTGCGCCGCGCAAACATAAAACCCTGTCTGCATTTGTGATCAGAGAAATGACAAACAACAAATGCTACTCTACACTGCTCAAAACTCGCGTTCGAATCATCAGTGGCGACGAAAAACACAGCGGCCTAGCGTGAGCGAAAGCCCCGGCTTAGCCTGAGCTGAAGCCGGGCAAGAGTGAGCTGAGGCGGCGGGGTCGAGAACGGCGGTCCCGGCGAAGGAGCGGTGAAAACGGTGAAAGCCGATCCGGCGATCCACAGCACTAAGTTGAAGTATTCCCTCAGCGACCAACACAGATCAGATCTAGGCATAACGAAGCGGATATCGTCCTCTTTTGGAAGACCAAACAAAGTAGTTTCGCTTTCACAACGAAGCACACAGCGTCTTCAGGACATGGCGGCAGCGGCAACAATACTACAGTGAGAATAAAAGTTACGCCTTCTTTCTTTGCGTGAACATTTGGGCGGCGTTATGCAAATCTTCCCACATAGTGAGGTAGATATGTGGGGGCGTGTTCGAACGAGCCGTTTTAGGTAGGTGTGGCTAACTCTTAACTTTTATAAAGAATATCTCTTTGGATTTGAGACTTTAGTCTTTGCAACTTTACAGATCTTCTTTATGCACCAAGAGCTTGTAACACTCCAAAGAGAAAGGAAAAAATGAAATCGCATCATATGACCCCTTTAAAAAAAGAGCAGTGCACTGCTTTTTTTATGTTGCTAGGCAACCACCAAATCAGCTGTCCTGTCAGTCTAATCAAAGGATTATAGCGCGAGTGCTCTAAAATCTTTGGTTTTTGCTGTTAAGTAAACTGTCATATTAGCAGAAATCTTAAAAATAGAGCTAGGGGTAGCCCGCGACAGCCACCACAAGTTTTTCCTCCATCATTGCAGTCTCTGGACGTTCCAAGCAACAACGGACTTCCGTCACCACAACGGAAGGCCGCCTCCCCATTCATTCAATTGGACAATGAAAAAAACAAAAACAAAACGCAAATGACGTTGGGCACTTTTCTGCTCAGAGTTGATTTTTTTTTTCAACTTCAGGCGCTCAAGAGCCCTCCTACAAAAATGCGAGGTGCAGCAGGCGGCTAAAACGCGGGGCGCATAAACAGCGTGCACTGCAAAATGCTCACTGCCAATAGAAAACAATTTTAAAAAAGGTGCCTCTCACTGCAAAAAACACGTTGTGTCTGATCGGGGCCTAATAGGTTCGACACACACACTGAGATCAAAGTTAGAGTACTCTGCAGGACTGTCTATTCGGTCCTGCATGGTTTCAC